GGCTCTTCGGGAAATGGAGTCCGCCCGTGGCGTTACCGGCAGCGCGGTGCTGGGGGGGACGGGACAGCGACACCGTCACCCGTGGGAGTGCTGGTGCGAGCCCGGGGGCCTACACCCGCGGTTTAAAGGGAAGGGGGGTGCAGGTTTCCCTCCCCTCCTCCCCAACCACAAAGGCCTCGTCAAAAAGGATTTCGTTGAGGGGAGGTTTAGTCATCTTTAATGCACTTCAGCTGAGATTAATGGCCCCGGTGGGCGGTGGTGGTGGTGGTGGTTTCAAAGGCATCCCCTCCTCTGGGGTTTCTGAGGCGAGGGCAGGGCCTTGCGCTGCTCGAAATTAAACCGGTGAAGAATGGGATTAAAGGGGACCCAGCCAGGAATTCCCACTTTTCCCCAAAAAGAGATAACGGCTCCGATGTTGAGGAGAAGGAGGATATCACAGCTTTTTCACTGCTTTTCTCCCTCCTCCTTTCTCCTGGGTGAGCCCTGGAAGGGGAATGTGCCCTTTTTCCTGAGGAAAAGCCAAATCTTTGGGGATCCCCCACCCCGTGGCGGGTCATTTCCCCCCCTGCATATCAAAAGCTGTCACCTTGTCCTCGTGTGACCTGCCGTGTCCCATGGCCCTTCTCCCAGCTGGGTGAGTCCCAGCATCCCCCCAGCCTTCCCAGGGCTTTCCCAGCTCCAAAATCCCGCTCTCAGGAGTGACTCCGGCCCCGGAGCTATTCCCCCTGCCCCCATGGTGCAGGATGCCCTGGCTGATCTCGCATGTGGAGCCAGGGATGAAGCACCGAAGCTCCTTGTCCATGACGGTTAATCCCTCGTCTGCACTGCAAACAGCATTGCCTCTTTCATCCTCCATGAGACACCAAGGTTTGCTAAGAGAGAAGGTCCTGTTGATGTTTCCTGCGTGTCCCTGCTCCACCTGCACCGGCTCGAGACAGGGGGATGAATCGCAGCCACCCCACATCCAGCTGCATCCACGCTTCCAGCTGACCACAGGGTAAAATTGTAGAATAGAAGGGTTTGGGTTGAAAGGAACCTTTGAAGATCATCTAGTTCCAACTCCCCCTGCCGTCGGCAGGGACATCTTTCACTAGATCAGGTTACTCAAAGCACTGTCCAACCTGATGTTGAACACTTCCAATGACGAGGCATCCATTAGATGACCAAAAGGCCAAGGAAGATATTCCAGATGCTGGTGGGAGGACAAGAACTTACTGCTGCGTCCCGCAAGCTTTGGAGACTGGTGAAGGGTAACCCCTGTTTTGGCCGAGGAATCATTGGGAGACGGTGGTGCAGCCAGAGCTGCTGCACCAGCAGCTGAATAAGCACAATGCTGGATTTAAATATGGTAATTCTGGAGCTAATTACGAAAGCAATGTTAGGGCATGAGGGAAGATCACAAGGAAGAGGTGTAAACTTGCGGTGACCGCATGGGATGGAGCAGGACTCTCTGGCTAATGAAATATCACCCAGGCTTTTGATATTATCTAGCAAGATCTAGTGAATTAAGGATGAAAGGCTGGAGGAGACCCATTAGCTCAGCTGGGTAGGTCTCCCGCGTGACACGAACCAGAGGACAGCCCAGGACCTTGTGGCAGGCAGGATAAAGCTTGAGTGGCTTGGGCAGATCCCATCGCTGTCAGAGAACCGCTGCTTCATCTGACGCCTTGTTTCCATAATGAAGCTTCCTTGTGGGTGACCTCTTTCTCTCGAACTGGTCCGGTTTCAGCTTCAGCCCCACTCCTTGCTCTGCCCTCCCCATTTCTCCCAGGAAACTGGGGCAGACGGATAGGAGCTGCCTGGATGCAGCCCATCTCAGTGTGGAAGCCGGCTCGTGATGATGTTGCATGGTTGCAGCTGAGCTCCAGGAGCCCAGGAGAGGCACACCAGCTCTCATCATTCCTCTCCCACTTGGATTTCGGTTTTGTGGCTCTTTTTTACACTTTTAGGTAGAGAGTACACCAGCAGCAAGCCACTTTCCAGGTCATGTCCTGCAGTACGGCCTGTGCCTCCCTCCATGCGTGATTTCGGCTGGCTGAAGTTCTGCCCAGCTCCCACCAGTTTCCATAGGGGTTGGGGCTTGCTCCTCACCAAGGGGTGCAGCCCCTTGGCGATGGGACAGTTGTCCAAAAGCATGGTACAGTCTTGCAGAGCCGCAGAGAGGGATGGCTGGGATGGGAACGGAAGCGACAGCCACAGCTTTTCCTAGACTCCCTTGCTCTTGTTAATGATGGGGGGGTTCTTAGCATAGGGAATATGAACCAGTAGCAGTTTGAATGCAAAATTTCTGATTTGGGGTGGGACAGGAACAAATCGGACCCCTTGCAGACTCCTGGTTCATGGGATTGGGAGGAGCCGCTGCACAGTACCGTCCTTGCCATCCAGCCCTCTTGAAGGAGGGAGACAAGGGAAAAGGCCACGCGTGGCTGCAAGCTGTGACCGCTCCGTGATGGGGTTTGGGGCTGCTCTAAGAGAGGGGTCCAGGCTGAGTGGCTGAGAGTCCCACTGGGAGTCAGACACTGGGAGAGGTGCCACCTATTTCACGTGCAGCTCGGGAGGGTGCCCTCCAGCACATCCCTCCTGCTGCGTGCTTGGCTTGGGGTCTCCTAGGGATGAGGTGCAGAGAGCTGGGCAGGGGGCACCCAAAGGGACCTGGCCCCTGTCTTCCTCAGGGTGGATGGGAGAGAGGCATGTGCTGGTCCATCCATCCTCTGAGCAAAGAGCCTCCTCCTAGTGCTTCCTTGAACCCATCTGAGCTGATTTCTGCCCAAAATGAGCAGATCTGGAGCAAGTTTGGGCTGAGAAATCCTCTGAAGCATGAGGCAGACATCCCTCCAGGTCTGACTGCTCAGGCATGTCGCAGGGCTGTGGGGAGGTGAGATCCTGCACCCATTTCAGTCCAAGGGTTGATGTCAAGCTGGCTGAACTCCAGGGTGAACAGCTATCTCTCATAAGAGCAGGTATTACTTGAGTTTGTCTTCTATCAATTAGACATTACTTTATGATGAGCTGAAGTAAGCTCTACAAGGCCAACAAAGCACGTCTGCAGGGGAGATGCACTATTTACATTAAATCACAGGATAAAAAGGCCAGACAGATCCAAACCCATTCCCTCTCTCCTTGCCCAGCTCCGAGGCAGGTGGTGTGTGGTTTTGAATGGGAGAAAGGCTTTGTTCCTAGGAAAAAGCTTCGTCTTTGAAATGAGGCCGACTCCAGCTGTGCACAGAGCTCTCCGGCACTCTGGACTCCAGCTGCTCTGGAGACGTTCTCTTAATTTACTTTTGATGAATATTTCAGTGCTGCCAATAGCCCTGGAGACTGCGAGCTCCTGTCTCAGCCTAGAGCTCACCTGTTCTGCAGGAGCCTTTTATTTTTCACTTACAGAGAATGAAGAATGAAAACAATGAAGGAGAAGAAAGAGTGAGTGGCATTGGTGCTAAGGAGTTTGGGGGGGACCAAAGCTCTTTCGTACCCAAAGGTTTGGGTTTGATTGCCCAAGTTGGGAGGCACAGAGGTGGGACAGTGGTACAAGAGAATGTGCCCAACCCACCAATTCCTTGGCCGTGCAGCCCCGCAGAAGCCTCATCTTCACAGCAGATCAGGGTCACAAGCTTGTTCCTGCACCTGGTCCTTGGTACCCCACGCTGTGCCTCAGGGACCCCGCACTGAGGAGGCTGGTGACCTCACACAGGGAGCTTTCTCTGTGACCTCAGAGCAGAGGGAGGGTGGCTTGGGGTCCCCTGCACACAGGTGGTCCAGGGACCCTGCAGCAGGCAGGATGGTGGTCTGGAGAACAGCTGCATGAGTCACTGTGGGACCCTGCGGTGAAGAGTGGATGGTGGCCTGGAGAACCACCCCAAGGGATCGGTTGGGGACACAATAAGAAGGTGAGACTGTGGCGTGGGGACTCCTGCGTAGGGGGAATGGGCATTATGTGGCCAGTGCAACAAGGACCCCGACATGGGTTAACTGAGGACTCCACAGCAAGGGGAGTGGTGACCTGGGTGGGTTGCCCAAGGTCCTGGCAAGCAAGGGGACACGGGACGCCGTGTGGGTGGCCCTGGGACCCCACCGTGAGGAATGATGGTGTCACGGGGACAGCCAGGCTGTTGGGCTGGGGACAACAGGAAGGGGAAGCCATGACAGGGGTCCTGGCT